AATCATTGCTAACATAAGTCAAGAATGAATACTAATGAAAAATTCGTAATAACTGAAGTTTAAAGCGATGATTGGGAGGCCTTTTTGTTTCGATATGCGGCAAGGGGCTTTCCCGCATAGGAATGTTCTGATTTTTACAGAGAGAATGGATAAACCAACAGAAAGGCCGTTTACGCGATGAAATGTATTTCAACTCCATTTTGAAAGGGTCTTTTTTTGTGTTAAAACATTTTGGCCAATCACAAGAGTTGCAAAAAAATGGCCAAGGAAAGTTAACAATTTAACAGATTCCCCACATGGGATTTGTGAGTTATCAATTGGTTTCATGGAAGTTCAAAGGATAAATAATATCCACTGTTTTATGGAGTTTCCTCGACTTTTGCTGTTTAAGCCCATCAGAAGTTTAGTACAGACGACTTTTTCAAATTGGGTCATTTTTTAGCAGCTGAAGACCTCCACTGAACTGTTAATCGCTGCAATATTGATGTAGGTTGTCAGTTTACCTCCCAAAGACATTCTATTGCGCAGTATAACGCGAAATACAATGACCGAGCGCCGAAAAAAGGGGACTGGAAACCAGGATTTATTTAGCACTTAGAAATAATTTGGTTTTGGGGAGGGAGAAGCAGAAATCCCGTAGACAGAATTTTTGCGACAAAACTGAAGTGTGGAAATTTGTCTTTTTGTCATACCTAAAGAACCGTCTATAGGATTTCTTTGAAACAATGTATACGGTACCCCAGGTCGTGAGGCTATTTTTTGAGAACCACGCCCCGGGAAGGGATGAAATTAACTGCAAAAACCGTGGACGAAGATCCTGCTAGTTGTGAACGTTGGATCTCTAGAAAAGAGATCAAATCAGCCAAAATATAAAGACAAGAACGAGAAGTCCAAAGACTACTGCAAAGCTGATTTAAAACAACGTGTATTGTTTTTGTTGTTTTTTTTTTTAAACAATATTTCGGCTGGCCATAGCAGCCTTCTTCAGGTTTACAGATGTCACTGAACTTATGTAGCAATCACAATATTATATAGATGGAGACAGTCTCCATCTATATTTTATTGTGATTGCTGCATAAGTTCAGTAACATCTGTAAACCTGACGAAGGCTGCTATGGCCAGCCGAAATATTGTTTTAAAAAAAAACGCCAAAAAAAAAAAAACAATACACGTTGTTTTAAATCAGCTTTGCAGTGGTCTTTGGACTTCTCGTTCTTGTTCCGGGAAGGGAGGTCTTCCGGAATAGGTGATGATATGTTGCCATTTCATCTCTATATCAGGAGGAGAGGAATTTGAGTGCCGCAACCGCTAGCAACCACGCAAGCAGTCTCCTATACCCTCTCAAGTACTACCACCGGCAAAGAGGGCCAAAATTCGAAGGTGTCCCCCTGATATCCCAGCTCAGAAGAACCGCTACCGTACTTCAAAAACAGGGGGATGTGGAGAGGGTGAGCACGGTTGAAGAACTGAGGGCCCAGAGCAAGTGGCTGCATTGGTAAGTCTGCTAGTATAAAACCGAGCAGAACAATAAAATAAATAAATGAATGAATGGCATCCCCTAGTGACGTTGATGCCAGTAAGAAAATAGTTGTGTTACCAAGGCTAGGCACCCGAACCTTATTTTTCCACGTGGAATGCGTTGCAAAGTTTCAAACAACAACACAAAGATCGATCTCAACATTTTGAAATCAGCCTCTTTTAATGACTAATGACCCACTCGCTTGTTAACATATCACGTCTCCCCACTTTCTCTTAAGGGATGAAGTCCTCCAAGCCAGGGAAGCCCAGCGTTGCCGCTTTGAGCTGGCCAAAGACCGGCAGCAACGGGCTCGGGAGGCCTGTGACCTGCTGATTTTGTCACTCTACACCCACCTCCCACCCAGCAGAGGCCTAGAGGTCCGGACATTGGAGTTGGTTTGGGAACGCGAACTCGAAGAGCCTTTTGAGCAGGCACGCTATCGTGACAGAAATGTGGCCCTCGTCAAGAAAGAAGGAGGAATAATGCTCCACCTGGGGATGTTCAAAACAGCCAAGCACACTGGCACGGAAACAATTCCAATACAGGTAATTCTTATCGTTACTTCTTCGAGTTATGCGAACAAAAGCAGAGTTCCCTGTGGCATATTTTTCCTGACGACAAATCGCATTACCCCCTACCTCCCCTATCAAAGTCCAAACAACTTGATGGCTACGATCAATGACCAGGGAAGGATAAAGTTCTGAGGAAAGCAAAAAGCTCTTAAGCACGTGTCTGAATCAATAAGGATGATAACAACAGCCTACTTAGCAGATCCACGGGGTGCATCTTTTCCCTTCAAATAGCATTATTCGTCATTAAAAGTAATTTAAATTACTGGACTTCAAGTAAATTTTCTCTGTTCCTTCCCCGCAGGCAGACAGCGAACTCTGCAGACTCTTCAAAGAGTTTGTGTCGCAATTCAGAAGCGTGCTTCACCCACGACCGTCCAGCAACTACGTGTTTCTGGTAAGTATCCGTGTTAGCTGCTATAGCTCAGCAAAATTGTCCAGCTTGGTGAAATAGCACTTGAAACTTGATTAGGCATTTTTAGGCCAAACAGGACTCTTGAGAACTGTAGGTCACAGTAGTGAGGTGTAAAAAATGGAGTGACGAGCTCTGACTTTCGATTCTCCTCTCCATTTCATTTCAGAATGCGAAAGGTGCACCCTTCTCGAGTTCGTCCTTCACGCAACGTTTACAGAAGATGTTTGAACAGCTGACGGGGAACAAGGTGGCAAGCTTTGGGCTGAGGTCGTCGTTCGTGACCTGGGCGTACTCACAGAGGTGGGTCGGCATCACTATTGAGCTGCACGTCGCCATAAAGGTGGTGGGTCCCCGAGACCCGCCGTTGCCCCCCAAATTTTTGGGATCTGTTGCTTTAAAACACTATAGCCACGCCACTGATAACCGTCTGTGTTCTTTCCTCTGTCTCTAGCGAATGCGACGACCGCATGAAAGAGAGCCTTGCCGCCTGCCTCCGACACTCTCGACAGCAAGCCCAGAAGACGTACGACCGACGCACCGCCAACGAGAGAAAGACCATGGGACTGGAGTTGGCCAGGCGGAAGGCCGAAGAAGGGCCAGCTGACCTCGAGGTTGCTGGGCCCAGCCACCGGGGGGCCACCGACGAACCGGAGATCAGGGTTGGAGACTTTGTCGGACTCGTAGCTGAGGACAGCACCCTACAGCAGCCCTCGATCTTCCTGGGGCGTGTCCAAGCATTCTTGCCAGAACACCAGGTCCTCCTTCTGTGGTACAGGAACACTGCAGGTGGCGTCTATACCCCTCACTTGGATGGTGAACAGTGGGTGGAGTCGAAAGAGTCGCTAGTCCCCGTGGAGGTGGCTCCAGCCAAAGGGCGTCCGTATGGCCAACGTCTAAAGACCAGCTTGCGCACCATACACAAAGCAGTCATGGACGGGACGCGGGAATCCTGACCTGCAAGCCGGAAGAGGAAGAGCAAAAGCAAAATGAGAACTCTAGCATCAAAAATGAGAACACTAGGATCAAAATGACAACTCGCGGATGTTTCCTTTTTTCAAACAGGATGAAAATGAACACTAGGTTCAAAATGACAAGTCTAGGATGTTTCTTTTTTTTCAAACAGGATGAAAATGAACACTAGGATCAAAATGAGAACTCTAGGACCAGTTGTTCCTTTTTTTTCTAACACAGAAATGTACGATAAGGGAGGAAAATGACATTCGTGGAGGAGATTTTCGGAAGCTAGAGGTTGTCGACCGCTGGCTGATACCAATTGTAATTCCGCCCGAAGAGTGTGTAAAATAAAAGTGTGAAAGGAATGTTCCTGTGTGTCGGTCAGTTACGGTAACTGTTGTTGGGGGAGAATGACCGAAAGAAATGGCCCTTGGGATAATTTCCCGTACATGTACTTCAATCAACCCGGGTTACCATAAGATGTTCACCTGAATTTCATTTGCACCTCTGCCAAAAATAACACACTCGACAGGAGGAAACCAAAAGTGAAACTCCTGCCAGATTACACCACGGTGAGCTAAGCTTAATATGAAGGGAATTTAAAAAAAAATAAGAATATCATTTGGAATCCATAATTACCTGGGAAAGATAAGTAGTTATGAGCTTCGAACTCTTGGACTAGAAATTTATCAGAGCATTTGCGTCCATAGTTCATGTAAAGCTACCGCGAAAGGTCCCCCCCGAGGGTGCGCGCGCCTGCTCAGTAGGTGTCGATATAACCGCTGTTCAAGGTAACCTTGTCCAAAGAATGACGGCTTGTGTGGCATTTGGAGACTCTGTAGTGCTGTATATCATTCATTGGAGTCCGGGCGTGAAACAAAGGCTTTTCGACTGCTGTAAGTTGATTTCAACCTTACTTTGCAGCTTTGCGTAATGTTCATTCATTTGCGATATGTCTGTGACGCCTCTAGCAAGCCATCGCAGCTCATGAAAGCCAACCTACCTAATTTCACCCGCGCAGCGATAAAACAGCAGTCGATTCACTTTCAGACCCCTTAGGAAATGGAAATTGACGGCTTTTTTTTTTCCTTTTTAATTTCTTGAAGTGTCATCGCCACCCTACGCACCTCTCCGAGTTGGAGAAGTCCAGACGATGGGTCAGTGCTAACTCAATTTGTACACACGTACAAGTGTGTCACGTGTCGCCACGGGTGTGTCGTCTTCTGGTAAGAATAGTCGGTTTCCTTTTCTTTGCAGCTTTAGTTTACAAGTCATATTTTTTTCAGAACAGCCGTTTTTATGACAATGCAAGGAACTGTTGCATTTAAGAATAACATTCGCACGACCAGACAAAATTTTATAAGAGAGTTTCGTAAAAACTTGTGATTGATTGTGTGGTCTGAATCTATGAAAAAAAGTGATTATAGCCGCTGGGATGAAGACTCCATTGAGAAAACACGTGTACATCTTTTTGTGAGATGTGTTTAGGTTGAAGAGATGAACTTGGCAGATTCTCCCTCAATTTGCAATGGACATTTTCAAGTTTTGGATTCACCTTGAAAATCAACCCCCCGACAGCATCGCTAAACTCTGCTGAAACATATGGGATAAAATGGCCCAAGAAAGTAAATCAGGGCTGATTAATGAAACAAATCTTTTGTGCATGCAACTTAATGTTAACAAACAATCAGTTAACTTTAACTTGACATTTTAAACCCCAATTTAGATGTCAAAATGTTCATTAAGGGTGTTGAAACATATCTAGAAAGTATTGTTAGTGTTCCCTTTGTACCTAATAAAAAGATGCTTTGGCTAGCTCTTAAGACCTTGAACGGATGAGTTGAAGAAAGTGTGTCGCGGACATTACGGTTTAAACAACCACTTTTTAAAGTAACTTTCTTGAAAGAGATTTTCCTGTGAATTTTTAACCTTGAGCAGAAAATAATTGTGCCTTCGAAACGTAACAATAATTAGATTTTTCAACTGTCGAAAAAAAAAAAAAATTCCATGCAACCTAATGTTCCAGTGATTCTACAAACAAAAGTTTGTGTTGCGGAGTTTATAGGTTATAAGGTTATAATACACACATACTTTTATGTTAACTGTAATGTTTTCTTAGATGTTAAAACGTTGTTTAAAATTTCCCTCCGAAAATTCCAACTATAATGAGATTCAAATTCTCTGGATTTTTTAAGCCTTCTCACATGAAGCACATGGACAAGACGCACAAGATCTCAGTCATTTCAAACAGCCCATTGTTTCAGCTTTCTGTTGGTTAAGTTTCATTGTGCAAAATTTTATTTTAAAAAATTCAAAATTTCATTGTCTCGCGTGGAATTGCCCTTGAGTCTAGTTTCCTATGCAAAGCTGGAAATAATTTGTCCAAACATCTGAAAAAAAAAAACCACCGGGCTAAATTTGATGAGAACAAAGACAAAACTAAAATTCTACTCCGTCCTCGAAAGTGAAACAAATTACTCTGAATTCATCAATCCTATCAGGAATCCCGAACGTAGACTTGTAGCTTCCAAATTTAGGATTGGAAATCATAATGTAAAAGTAGAGACTGGAAGATTTAGAACTCCTGAAGATCTGCGAATTTGGGATCACTGCAATCTAAACTCGGTTGAAAGTGAAATGCCCGTGTTGTTTCGCTGAGATCTCCGTAATGATTTGAGAAAGACTCTTTTCATTAAGATCAATGACCGAAATGCATCATTAATTTACAAATTACAATATCCATGATAAAGTCTGTTTTCTTTCTGACAAGACCGATTCACCTATCAGCAGGCTAACTGCTAATTTCGTTTTTCAAACATTTGAAAGAGGAAAGAAACACAGTAATAATGATCAATAATTATTATGCCATTCCATTTTCTCTTGGATGCTACCTTTATGGACGTTACATCGTGTCAACAACAAATGCAGCAAGCTCTACAGTAGTCAGGGAAAAAAGAAATATCAATAGTAATCCAGCATTGCCAAATATTATGATGGAGTTGTTATAAAGACAGCACTTAGAATCTTACTGGAGACAACAATGAATAATAATATTATTATAGGGACAACAATTTAATAATCATTATAAGTGTATGATCAGGTATTTCATCTTTTAAAGTGAACATATCAAATGGTCAATATAGCTCTGTGCTAACTTCTAAATTGCTTCGTGTCGCTCTAATAAGACCAATGTACGTGCTTTGAATCGCACAAATCTCAGCTCATTTTCTGGCACAAACCAGAGCCCGTAGTGCGCTTGACACCATTGTGCTACGCGCGTAGGCTTACTGGGCACCTGGTGCTACAAGTACAACAGTCTGCGGCAAGCTCTCGACCTCTGCTATGGAAATGACGGCCATTAGAAACTTGTAATTCATTTTGTGCCCACATCGCCACACTGTGTAGGATTTTCAACTGTCCCTAGTACAGGTTCATCAAAATAGCTCATGGCCGTTCACCTTGACCTCTGAAAGCCACCTCTTTCCCAACACCGAGCTGCCTTGCAAGTCTCGTCTCCTTACTGGCAACCGTATCAACAACTCTTATGAAAAGTGACGGTAGATGGAGTCAGTAATATTATTTTATATCCCTGAGAGAGTACGAACAGTGATGGGATATGTCACTTTCTAGCAGTTGATTTACCGACGTGAGCGGGGAAAAGTCATCAAGGCTGTTTAACGCTTCGATATCAGTGGGATTTGTGATAGATCTCTTCTTGTGTTTGTGACAGGGTGGCAATGTGACTCTATTATGGCTCATTCCACTATCATGGACGTTACATTTGCATGAGTGTGGTTAGAGAAAGATCATTGCAACAGGTTCAAAATAACAAACAACCATGCCCCCTTTTTTACTTTGTTCATGAAAGCTAGTTGCTAGTTGCATGTGAAGTGTAAGACTCATCAAATTTACTATTATGCCAAAATTTTCCTTTCTTTAAATATATGAAGCTGTCATGGATGTTACAACCAAAGAAACCAGGTTCCTCAGTGCGAAAAGGTTAAACATTAAATTCCTGTGAATTCTGCAAGCGTAACTAGAAACAAATGATGTTGTTTTTTAGGCGAACAGTGATATTTACTACAAGTTATTAGTGCACAGAGATAAATATTTCTTTTGTGATGTGGGCCTTCTTTGCTTGATGACAAAACACTGTCACGGATGTCACCGTCCGGATCATGGCCGTTACAGTGTGTAAAAAAGAGAAAGAGATCAGTGATGTCAAAAATGCAAGTTCCCTGTTCCTTCTTTCCTTCGCACAAACATTAGAAAACTGGCCATTAGTTGTGAAATGAGCTTCATCTTTCTCTTAGATTTTCTCCTTTTTGACAAAACAAACATAAGTCAGCAAGTAAAATAATGTTTGTGTCTCATCTTTAAGCTCAAGCTCTTTCGCAGCATTGCAACGAAAACTGGATACATTTGATACTTGGTCTATCGATTAGAGTATCGTTCAGTTCTACATTTTTCTCAAATCTTAGACCCTGTCAGCAATTGAGAAACTTGTTTCCACAGAGCTCTATCGACCATTTGATCTGTTTACTTTACAAGATGAAACGACTTACACTTGACATTTCCTGTTGACTATTGTATATTATTATCAATGTTGTCCTTATAATTATTCACTGTTGTCTCCGATAAGATTCCAAGTGCTCTCTCTGACTCCATAATAATATTCAGCAGTGCTGCGTGTCCATTATTATTGCTGTATATCAAATTGATGTTAGAACCAGGCTTTTTTGGCAATAATATTATCCTAGTGAGCTTCCTGCATTTATTGTTGTCCTAAAGTGACGTCCATCATGAAAGTAACATCCATGAAGTATGACAGATAATTTTAACATCCAATTTTTTGTGTGTCCTTTTGGAACTGACTGGTTTTTTTTGTTGTTGTTGTTTTGTTTTGTTTTGTCACAGATGTTATGTTACTTGGTCAAATGAAAGAGAATTTGTGTTATTTTTTTCTATCCGGCTTAGACAACAGCTGTGATAGAAAAAA